AAAATCTGCTGCTGCACAACGTCTGGGGAGCCAGAGTGGCTGCAGAAACAGCGGGGTGGATACGTGACCTGCAATATGCTAACTAACGAGAGAGCTCAGAATTAATTATTCATCATCTTGTGTTTCAAACTATTGACAGAAGTCTTGAGTGTGACTCACTCCGTGGAGATAAAGTGGGTGTTCTGTACGGCTCCGATTAGAAGAGAGGACACAAGACCAGCTCGTTTTTATCAAAACACTTTGCATAAAATTTGCAATAAGCATTCCTTTCACCGTGCTCGGCATCGACGGCAAAGGTTTCTGAGGAGCTTCTCAATAGCTGCTACTGCAGACTGCGCAGATTGGAGCACAGGCAGGAATCAGCAACGCCATGCACATTGGCTCTTCATTTGTATTTTGATGACCTCATTAGGCCCCAAAGCAACAGGCTCAAATATCTGTGAAGGACTGTCAGGAGCAGGTTCTGTTATAACGAGTTTTTTTTTTTTAAATAATGCAGCAGTAACACTATTTCTCTGTGTTTTAATCTTTTTCACTATACTTTTCTAAAGTTATAGTGTGTTGTGAAATTGCTGCAGTTGCATTCCACCAGATTAAACTCCAGCAGAAGTAAATCAGCCAGACTTCATTATCAGATAGAAGTTTTAGCTTTGATGCATTTCTACTGTTTGCAGGATATCTCGATTCATTTTTTCAGTTTAATCCGATTTGTTTCGTGACAGCCATCTCCCCATTAAAAAGTATCTAATATTGAATGTTAAATTCAATGTTTTTTGATAGAATAAAAAAGGCATTTCTTCTCAGCTGTTTTTATGTGCAGTTTTAAATTGCTCGTTAAAACAAATCTTGATGCAATTATTGAGATATGAAATTATCTTTGAGATGAGCTGGAAGGCTGCATGATGGAGCGAAGAAACAGATTCTGACAAAAACTAAAATATTTCTAATTTATTAAACTGCTCAGATAATTACTAGCGCCCTTTTAAAAGCACAGAATGTTCTTTGAAATTTCATCTGTTGTGCTCCCAGTCAATGGGATTTAATTATTTAGACTCATTTTTGGTTTATTTTGAATATTACCCATCACTTTTAATATAATTGTATTTTATTTGACACTTTTGCCGTTTTAGTGGAACATTAGTTCCCACTTTGACTATTTACCATGTTTAACAAACCTCTAGTTGACAGAAATGTGCTTATATAAAGTCAGTTAATGTCTGAATTGTTTGCAACTTTTTCTAATGTTCATATTTGATGAGATTTGTCAAACAGTTAGCAAAATAAATGGTACACATAATAGTGACTGCTGAAAAGAAGCAAAGAAAGTGCCACGAAAAAAGCGACCCTGACTGTCAAGCTTCAATAACATGAACAGGTACTGGAAACCATCCCACATTCACTTAAGTTCAGTTCAAAGTAGACATACTGACTTCTTTTCTGAATAGTTCTACGGTCGATGCAAAATATTTTCATTGTTCTTGCACAAAATCCCTCTGATTAAAAAAAAAATCTCAGCAGTTTAATTCTTGATGTTTTCAGTGCCTTCCAGAATGAGTCGTTTCAAGGATCTGTCACAAGCTGGAACTGTCTACGCCCACCCATCCCCCGCTCAGGGTGCTGTTAGCTGAGAATAGACCTGGGACGATAATAAGTTTTGCCGGACGATATCTTGTCCAACAAATTATCGACGATAAATTATGTCTACATTATCAAGACCAAAATAACCACTTATGTAACATTGAAATATCATGATAATGCAAGTACATTCTTTAAAATGCAACACTTAAACCTTTATTTAACATATCCAGAATCAGAACTTCTACTTAAATAAATAAAACAAACAAAAAAATAAAATAAAGGACTCGCACACTGTTATTATCTCCCTATATTGCAACAAAAACAATAAAATAGACCATGTCTCTCCAAAACAATGAATACAATGGCTTATCCAGTCTCAACAAGCAAAACTGCAATTCAATAATGATAATAATAGAGTTGTACATTTCTTAACCTCGATATATTGAGGCTGGAAAAATTATTGAGTTCATTTTCATCTATCGTACAATTAATTGATTTATTTAATTATCGTCACAGCCCTAGCTGAGAAGCTCCAATGCCAGGGAGGGGCTCAGAGTAGAGCTGCTGCTCCTTTAGCAGCGACTCTCTCCAGCAGGTGAGAGGGAGTCCTGTTAATTTCCAGGAAAAGTGAAAAATGGTCCCACACCTTTGACATTTTCTGTCTTTTTCGCACTCCACCGGGGTCCACGTTGTCTGCCATGGATTCAGAAAAAGTGAAGTTACATTCGCTACTCGCGTGTTCATTCAGTGCAGTGTGTATGTGCGTCACTTATTTCGGTCCGGGTGAAACATAATTCCTAAAACCAAACACTTAGAGAAAATAGATGGATGGGTTTTTTAAGCTCCGATACCAGGGATATGCTCGGATTAGAGTCACTCCTCCTCCAGCAGCGGCTCTCTTTTGCACGTGAGAGGTGGTTTTATTCTAATGTCCCCGTTTGTGACATCACAAACTGGGACTTGTTGAAACAGGTTGTTTTAGGCACATAATTCCTAAAATCAAATACCGACAGAAAACGGATAGTTGTTTTATTCACATTTAAGAGTTTTTTAGAGACAGAAGAGACCCACATATCAGCGCAAAGGGATGCAAAAGATGATTTTTGCATAATCTATACCTTTTAAACACGATCAGAAAATGCCCCCAATGTGCAAGTCAAGTCATCAGCATTTCCCCACACTTCTTTTTAAGAATACTTTTTGAAAAGCACATTTAAAGGCAATTTTCAGGCCTGAGAGTGGCATTGAGCTGACCAAGTTAAAGTCAGATCATGTAATCAGACTTCAGCCTCGATGCTGAAAGAACTAAAAGATTCCGAGTGATTCCAAGTAAATCTACGAAGGTATTTGTGTCATCAGAATTGGAATCATTTCAAATGACATGGCTAACCAAGGCCACCATCAAATGCAAAAAGCCACTTAAGACAAGTCAACTGTCCTTCACCTTCCCCTACACACTCGTGTGGAAAATATTTGACCCACATCTGCTCAATACAACATTCCCGCGAACAAATTCAAAAGAACGCGCGTGCATTCAGTTAACTTTGTGAGCATTAGTGACACCCCGGTGAGATGTGATTTCATACACTTAATGGGGATGAGCAGACAATTTGCATTGGTAATGATGGGCACATGAAGCTGTGACAGACCATATGCAGCACTCCAGCTCCATTTCAGGCAGCCCATCAGCCAAATCAACACCCACCATGTGCTCCGAGCTGCCCTCTCACTGAAAAACCCAAGGCACACAACCGAGCGGCTGCATTTGTGAAGTATTGCTGACAGCCAAGTATCTTCTCCCAAGAGGGGGAAAAAAATTGCTCAAAGTTGGAGAGCTGCTGGAAAACTAGAGGCGGTGCATGCATGGACACGCCGGTGCTCACTCTGGACGGCGACGCATGGCTGGATGGAAGCTGCAGGATGACCATCCCGGGAAATGAGAGAATGTGCCACGAGTGCCACTAAAACCTGATCTATCCTCACCCCCACTACCCATGTGCTTCAGAGATGGGAAAAGGCTGATACAATGCTGTGTGGAGAAACAGTAATGTGTCCAGGGGAGGCAATCAATTGTGTAAATAATTGTGCTCCATGGAGAGATCCAACCCATTTTTCTGATTCTTGGCATTGTTCCCCATGTTAAACTTCCCTTCATCCACCGCACACCCTGCCCTAGTTTACAGATGAGTTATAACAGCGGACGAGTTTGTTTTTACAGTCCCTTCTCCTCTGCTGCATCTCTGCTTTATGCCTTCTATAAAACGTGAGCCCCGCGGAGTTTGTGGCTGGAGGATTAACAATGCTGTTTAACCCTTTCGTGGAGAGGAAATGGGGAAGTTCGAGATCATCAGCTGAGGTAAGCAATTTTGTACGGAAACACTATAAATATTGCCTATATTTCAGATTTTAGTGAGCAGTTACAACAATATAAAACCTGTAATTCAGTTAAATAACTTTAGATCAGTGTTTATTATTTTCTGTGATGCATTTGACGTTCCCCCAAAGGTTGTGCCCCACTAGTAGATAACCACTGCTTTAGATACAACAGTTTTTCAGTTAGTTTCGAAAAACGCGTCATCTCAATAACAACATGAATATGTTTAAGGATCTCTTTTCAACTTCTGATAAATACATTCACATGTTTCCACAGCTTGCATTAGGCTAAATAATCACAACGATCAGGATTTGTTAATGCTTAGGCTCCGCCTCCAGCAGGGGGAGGCACTGGGAGGGGGATGGGGGTCCAAGCTTGCTGTCAGGGTGGCACTGGCACTGGCCCACCCTGGATTCCTTCTAGAACCGCCCCTGATGGACGTAAATACAAACACAACTGGAAACCTTTGGCAGATAAAAAAGTGAAGCTTTAAAGATGAACTTGGTTGGGTAGTCTAATCCGTCTGGGTGAGATGCTCTGAGTCGAGCTTTAGCCGATGACCTTGACTTCTAAAATTCAAGTGGAGATGAGAAAAAAACAATAGTTGCTACAAGAGAAAGTGGGGATATATAAATATATATATATATATATATATATATATATATATATATATATATATATATATATATATATATATATATATATATATAAGGTATATATATATATATATAAGGTATATATATATATATATATATATATATATATAAGGTATATATATATATATATATATATATATATATATATATATATATATATATATATATATATATATATATATGCCTTGCCTGAGGAGCAGCTCTAACTGAGATTTATCAGAGCAATTCTCGCCTTACACTGATGAGATCTTGATGCAGGTTTTACCTTTAAGGCTACAGAGTGAATGAGAGGAAAAAAAGCAGCAGGAGAGGAGAAAGGATGGACAACATAAATCTGAAATAACCAGAGAGCTGCTGCAGGAAGGAACTGATAAAAGAAAAATCTTACTCACAAACTTCAGAAAGGAGGCGCTTCCGATCCGAACTGGTAGTTGTCCCACTAAGTTCTGTCCAAAATCATTTCAAAAGAATTCACGTGATTTTAATGATGGGAGAAGAAAGGATTCACCTGACTGGGAGGATTGGGAGCAGGCTGCTGGAAGCGCTGGCAGAGATCGTGAAACGCTTCCTGAGAATATTCCCATTGTTTCCCTCCGCTCTGATCTCAAATTCCCTCTCCACTTTTAACGAATCACACTCGTTGTTTTTTTATTCAGATGAAACAAAAATTTAATAAAACAACAACAAAGCTCTAGTTACCTCAAAAAGTCAGATGCCAGCAAGGACCGAGACGTCATGCCTCCTCCTCATCCTCGCCTCCTCCTCGCTCCGGGTGGAGAGACTCCCCCTTTTCCTTCTTTCTTTTTCTTTTTTAAGGGGTGTTTCACTTCCTAACTTTACATTTAATCAAATTAATCACAATCTTACCCACACGCGCCCATTCTCCGATTTCAACTATACTCCGTTCTTGCTCGTCAGTAAGTTTCCATCATCATGGTGAGATTTTTACCTCTTAACTTCAACATTCGCGTTTCCGATTGAAAGGAAAACATGTTTTCAGCCGTTTCAACTTTTGCGATAATGGAAATTAAAAGATAATAATTAACGACATGCGTAAAGCAAATATTCACAGGTAGAAAAGGGGTGGAAGCAGATCCCCCTCGTGCATATTACAATGTAGCGGTTCACTATTGGATGTGGATGATAACAAACAGCTACAAACCTCTTTCTCCAGGAAATACGTCACATTTAGAGCCAAGCGGATTAAAGTGTGCGTTTGATTTGTTTCACCACTCAGGTTTAAAGGGGCGGCTCACTTTTCAGCCTACAATCAAGCTATAAAACTCCTCTTGCATCTTATTTTTACCTTTTTGTATTACTAGCTAGCATTGTTAAGCAGGTGATAAAATATAATTAACTTATAGCATTGTAAAAAAAGACAACAATGTTTAATATTTATCTTAAAAATATTTATCAAATGTAAAAAAATTACACGTACAGTTTTCCATTGATAAAATACATTTATTATGGCAAATATATGAATTTCGTGATTGTATCGTTTGGTTGGACTACCGTGCCACGCCTGTAAACAAAATACACACGCGTTGTGAATCATTATTGTGTTTTGCTGCCCCCGTGTGGACACACGTTGTAATTACATCCACAGGTAAAAACAGTACACCGTACGGTAGAGGGGGCCATAACGCACAGCTTGTAGTCTGTCTTGACTCGGCATGGTTGTGTCTACAGCTTTGTACTAAATCCAGCCCGTTTAATCGAGCCAAAAATTATCCCGGAATAAGGACAGCACGCATGTGCCGTCAACCCGGATGTAGATATTTCTGTCTCCGTGCGCTCCCCAATTCTTCCAAGTTATGACAAGCCTGCTACCGCACATTTAAGAATTGCAACAACCTGTCAAACAATATAATAAACAATGCGGTTTTGTTCGTCTTTGTTTGGTGCGTGAGAAGTTGAACTAGCGCGAGGCGGCCCCGCGTTTTGCAGGAACGGGTTCTTATCATGGACTATCGCGGCAGGAGGCACGAGCGAGGCAGCAACTGGACCGACCCGGAGATCGTGGAGTTGCTCCAGCTGTGGTCCGATGAGTCGGTCCAGATTGAGCTGGAGAGCTCTTTGCGCAACCAGCGCGTGTTTGACCGCATCGCGCACGTTTTACGCGAGAAGGGCATTTACCGCACAGGTGACCAGTGCAGGGAGAAAATCAAGAAGATGAAGCTGGAATACCGGCGCATCAAAGACAACCACAAAATGAGGACTTGGAAGTTTTATGACGTGATGGATAAAGTTCTGGCGAACCGTCCGGCCATCACCTACTCCTCCCTGGGCGGAGCCGTGGTGGCTCAGCAGGTATTCCAAAGTCCAGGTGGATCTGAAGCGTTTCTGCAAGGAGTCTCGGCAGGCTCGTTCGGTCCTGTCTCGTCGGGTGGGTTTTTGTTCGGCCAGCCCCCAAAGGCTGGTGAAGGACTGGATATTAAATGTGAGGATGTTGAGGAGAGCATGCTGAACTCAGGTGTGGCCCCACCTGAGATGTACTACGGCTCTGGAGATGAGCAGGAAACGGATGGGCAGTCTTTGCTGGAAGCAGAGGACACACTGGGTCACGCTGAGAGCTCATCAAACACAAGAATCTCTCCCTCAGGTTGGCATCTTAAATATTAGAATTTGTGTCACTGTAACGTCCAAAGGGGTCAGTTTTCACCTATATATTGACCAACATAGTGACCTTTCATTTGCAGCATAAATCCACTTTCTATTTAGCCTTCTAAATCCAGAAGGTTCTGCTCAGCGCGTGTTTACACACCATGAAGACAAAACATTCAAATAAATACTCTCTCTTAAAGTTCCTGCACTCTCTGTGAAAGCCAGACAACATTCTTCACTCTGAACAAGTGAAGACTCCACGATGTTATAGTTATAAGTTAAATAATCCTATGTGATGAATGAACAAGATGTTTAAATGACATGTTTGAGTAATCTGTGCTTAAATCAATGAATCTAAAATGAATATTGTTCTTACAATGATCCATTTATGTCACAAATCACCATGTGTTTGATTTAACAAGTTAATCATTGTTTACACTCATACTCATTGCAACAAGATACATGTTAAGGTTAAAAACATTTTTGCTGAGGGATGTTGGTAAATACTCAGAAACGTGTCAAATTCAGATTGGCCAAACTTGGCCAGAAATCATAACAAAGTTTCTTCACTCTAGTCTTCACTGGCTCCCTGTCATTTTCAGAGCACAGTTTAAGTAATTGACTTTTGTATTTAAATCACTCAACGACCTGCTCACTCCATATGTACCCACGCGCACGCTGAGGTCGGATGACCTTTTGCTGCTGTGTACGCCGCGGATGCGATACAAATCGCGGGGTGAACGAGCGTTTGTGCATGCTGCCCCAAAGCTGTGGAACTCGTTGCCCATTGGAGTTCGGCAGGCTCCATCACTGGCGGTTTTTAAATCTCATTTAAAGACCCACTTTTACGATTTGGTTTTTAGACAGTGACTCGTTTTAGTGTTTTAATGTGTTCTTAGTATTCATCATGTTTTATTTGCTTTTGACTGGTATTTTTATCTTCTGTTTTAGTTCCTTAGAATGGTCGCGTTTTGTTTTAGCCTGTGCAGCACTTTGGGCAGCTCCCATGCTGCGTTTTAAACGTGCTATATAAATAAACTATGGTATGGTAATAAAACAAGAATTACTTCCAGAGTAATTCAGTTTCTCGCTGACCCTCGAGCCGGTCGTTTTGGGAAAGAAGCATTTTTGAAACCATCTTCTCCTTTGACCTTAAGTCAAAAACTGTCTGCAACGCTGCGGCTGATACCAGACAACCAGCTCTTCTAAGAGCCAAGCATACTTCAACTCTCAGACATCCACCTTAGACACCTAATCTGCAGACCCCGGGTTGCATCTCATGGCCGGGGAAGTTGAACTCAGAGGAAGCTACTAATCTCTGAGCATTGTGGTTTTGACGTCCTGTGACCTCACCACTCTGACCGCAACCTTCCGGACCGCCGTTAGCAACTCATACCTGGGTATCGTAAGCCTGCATACGGGTGTCTGATGTAGGGATGGGTACCTTTGGCATTTGAATCGATCCGGTACTAATTCCCGGTACCTACGAATCTATACCGGTACTTAACGGTACCAATTTTCAATACTTTTGAGTATTTATTGTTTTAATTCTCTTTTATAATTAAATATATATTTTTCTCAATATATAACAATATTTGATATATATCATGATAAATAACATTCAACTGTTTGTATTTTAACATCGTCCTTGTAGTTTTATAAGCTGATAATTAAACTGAAGCAAACATCTTTACTGTGAACTAAATTTACTGTGTATCTTCATTCCTTTTGCCGTCCTTTTTCTTTGATTTTTCCTACTGGGAAGTTAGAATTTCTGAGGAGAAAGTGAACGCACCATTAGCTGATAACAATGGTAGCAATGGAAGCTAACATACCAAGCTAACATTATCTTAAACAGTTTATTTAACTGCTGGAGCAGATTAAAACGATGATGCCTCACACTTAGATCGTTGTCACTGGTTTCATCTTCACCCAATCACCCGTCGCATTTAGTAAAGTGAAGCCAAACTTTAGAGCGCGTTCATGTTCTTCTTGTCGGAAATTCGGAGTTCCGAGGAGAAAGCGAACGCACCATTAGCGAAACGGAAGCTAACATGTCAAGCTAATTATATTTACCTACCGGAGCAGATTAAGATGAGGATGTCTCACTTAGATCGTTGTCGCTGGTTTCATCATCACCCAGTTACCCATCACATTTAGTGAAGTGGACCCAAGCTTTAGCGTGCGTTCTTTCTACCATGCTGCTCTGTTTACAACTGGTTCGCAGCGAGCGACGACATAACGCTCTTGCGCATGCGCAGCTGTCTTGGCAAGTTCTCGTTATGAAGGACGGGTACCGAAACGAGGCACCGTTTGAAATTACGTGAATCGGTGCTCGGTCGGTACTATGGAATTCGGTCGGTACCTTAAAAAGTACCAGAATTCGGTACCCATCCCTAGTCTGATGAGGTTTATAAATAAACAACTCTCCAGTTTATAACAAACAACACATTCTTTTACAGCCAGATTTCACAGTTTCTCTCAGATACAAAGAACGGTTGATACAACATCTAGCTTCCATCTCAATTAAATTCATTTTATAAACTATACTGACTGTCTGAATTTAATACGAAGTGTGTTTATGGTCCCTGAATAAGCAAAGAACCCTAGAATCTTCTGATTAAACATTCAAAGATCAATCAGATTTATATTTCATATTTATATGGAATATCACATCTTATTGGTCATAATTAATACGTTTTAATTGCTACATCATCATAGTTTGTTATTAAAACAAGCAATTTTCTGTTTGCATTTCTAGGTTTTAGTGACCTAAACACAACCGGTTCTGCAGCAGCTGTGCCTGAAGATGGTCCTGTGGCACAAGAAACACTTGAGCTGCCTAATAAGGAGAGTAACCAAACACCAGCGAATGTGAGGCACAGAAAGCATCGAAGGGGCGGCAGATCCTCGCAGGGCCATGGGAGTGGCAGGTGCAGTGGTCGGGAGAGTCTGGATAAAGCCCTGGCCAGCTTCCTGAACTGGCAGCAGTCTGCAGAGGAGCGTCTTCTCTCCCTGGAAGAGGCAAGGCTGGAGCGGGATTGGCGGGCCGAGGAGCGAAGAGAGCAGCGTGAGGAGAGGAGAGCAGAACAGGAGCGCCGGCATGAGCTGCAGCTGTTCAGCATGCTGACGGGGGCCCTGTTCCCCTCCAGACAGGACGCCCAGACTGCTGATCCCTCTGCCTCACCTTCGGCTCATCTGTCAGCTCCTCGGATGACCACAGCCGCCCCCCCTGTCTCATCATCCTCATCTCAGCCACCCGCAGAAGCTCCCACGGTGCAGGTCATCTCCACTCATGAGGCAGAAAAGTCACAGCCCACATCTGTCACAGCCTGCCAGATGTCACAAAACGTGTTGGCAACACCGAGAGGGGCAGAGGCTCCGAGCCCAAGTGTGTACCTGTCCAAACGAGGTAACAGCATCCGACAGCATCAAGGTACTCTGCAGGAAGGCTTTGTTCAGTATGCAGCGAACAAATACCACGTCACAGACAACCCCGAGGTACGCGGACATCACGCCGCAAATACCTTTCTGCTCCGAGTGTCTGAACAAAAGAAAAAAAAATGAAAAATTTGTTTTCGTTTCCAGGGAATCATCAACCTGGGCACCAGTGAGAACAAACTGTGTTATGATCTGCTTCATGCACGAGTAAGACAGAAACGGCACGCACATTGATGTAACTGCAAATTCTTCATGTTCATGTTCTGATCTGCAACAGCTGACCAGACCCGACATGCTTTACGTCGAGCCGTCTCTGCTGCAGTACTCAGACTGGACGGGACGCACCTTGTGAGACGATTCAGAGGATCTTATCTTTGCATTTAAAATAATGATAATAATTCACAGTTCGTACTTTCTGACTTTTATTTTGACTGTAAACATTTACGCTCTAACAATCCTCAGCCTCAGAGAGGAAGTGGCAAAGTTCCTGACTCACTACTGCGGCTCCCCGAAGACGCTGAACGCAGACAACGTGAGTAAAGTAGTTTGTTTTTTATTGCTGGACTTTAGTATTCGAGTTAAATCAGCTCAGCTGCTGCTTTTTCTTGTAACAAGCTAATGCTCCTCAAACTCCAAGATTGCTGTTAAAGTGTGATGAAAACCGTGTTCCTACCTGGTTTAAATACCGATAACACACGACTTACTGCACAATCTCTCAGTTTATTTAGTAAATACTGATTTATGAAAGAAATATTTCAGTGATACATTTAAGATTTTCCCATTTGTAGGAGCTTCTCAGTCATCCCCGTACTTTGTTCTCAACCTGGTTGTTTCACTTTTAGGAGTTTTATGAGCTTTCAGACTTTGTTGTGGTGGCACGACGCTCACACTTGTCCAACATACGTTTCTGAACAGCCAGACGACTACCCAGAATATTTTTTAGCTATGGATATGAATTATTGCATCATCCATCCATCCATCCATCCATCCATTTTTTTATTATCTTATTATAACACAAGATTGGAGGATGTAATTACAGCTGCATTCAACCATAAACATTTAGTCAAATCATATCAACAGTAAAATTTCATCAAAAGCATCATGCTACCGTACGTAACCTGCTGCTGTGGAGGACGGCTTTATTAGGTGTGTGTGTGTGTGTGTGTGTGTGTGTGTGTGTGTGTGTGTGTGTGTGTTTTCAGGTTGTGGTGATGAATGGCTGTGGTTCTCTCTTCTCATGTGTTGCTGCTGTAATTTGTGATCCTAAAGGTGAGCATGCAAATGTGCAGGAAGATCACACACACACACACACACACACACACACACACACACACACACACACACACACACACACACACACACACACACACACACACACACACACACACATCTGCACACACGCACATATTCACTGTGTGTAATAAGAATGTTATAACAGTAATGATTAGAAATCTTTGTCTTTGTTTTGCACATAAACTATGTTAGAATCAACCAATACAGCAAAACAAAATTGTTATTATTATTATTATTATTATTATTGTTATTATTGTTATTATTTTAAGCTCGTTTTCTGTTGCAGTTCCAGGCAGCAAACAGTCATCTTACTGTCTGGTTAGCTATCTTATCCCGAGAAAAGTCTTGCTACTGCTAGGTTTGTCTAGATTTCTAGGGTAGTAATACAGATATATAACAAAAAGCAACATTTCCAGTTAATTTTAAAGGTGTAGTTCACTTGTTTGGTCAATACCTTTGCAGTGGTCTCTAGTAGGAATGAAAAAGTCACACTTAGGAGAAACAAAGCTCCGGTGCGCCAGTTTCAGGAACTAGAGGTGAGCCACATCAGAGTTGAGCTTCAGACGAAAGGATCTGGACTCTTACTTGCTGATATTTGGAGAACTCTCCTACAGCAACATGACTCTACCACATACTCTGTTTGTTTTACAATGCTGATGTTTTATCTCCACAAATAACACAAGCCTGGAGGAGTTCTGCTAGGTGGTGGAGTTGTTAATGCTAACGGTTAGCTGGACGCTAAACCAACAACAGCCGCTCCCGTCGTGAGTGAAGATTGGTGATTCTATGAACGTTAATTGTCAGTGTGACGTAGATCTGTTAGGCTTCTCAAATCCTAGTTTTGTTGTTTATTTTCTCTGCAGGAGATAGGTGTAGGAGACTTTTTTCATGTTCAGCCTGCATGAAAACTCAGAGTGACCGATTATAATCAGGAACAATAATTAAAAAATGTTTTTTCAGTGAACCACACCTTTAAAGTATTTGTAATATCAATTAAATACAATTGCAGCCACATAATTCCCATTATAATTCAATCTAATTCAGTAACTATAATACAATGTGATCCATGCAAGGCAGGGGTCTGGATCCTGCATCTTTGGGACCACATGTGGTCTTTTTATTGCTTTTAGCAAAAATATAAAGATGAGTTTTTGCTGCTTTCTGGTCAATTTTATACAGAAAATAAACAAAACAAGCTGATAACTTTGCTCAAATAGTTTGTTTACCTGATAAACCCGGTTTTTAATAAACTTCAAGTCAAACTGGAAATTAAATTCACGTTTTTCTACATTTATGACAAATTTATGAGCCATTAAAGCAAGGCATTCAGCAAAAATATGGCAAGTTTTTTGATATCAGTTCAAACTAAAATAAAAGCATGTCTTATAAATAAAAAACAAAAAAATAAAGTTTTAATTAGAATAAGTCACCATTAATCATCCATTGATGGTTTTTGGGTGATTATTTAGAAAGTAAAAAAAATGACGTTTAAAGTTTGCAAGTTTAATTTAATATCAATCTTATGAACATAAATTGAGTCTAAATGTGAATGAAAAAAACTATATAAAGCATTTGTTAAAATAAAAATGATGATTAATGAAATTTAAATCTGAATGTGTCGTGTGTGTGTGTGTGTGTGTGTGTGTGTGTGTGTGTGTGTGTGTGTGTGTGTGTGTGTGTGTGTGTGTGTGTGTGTGTGTGTGTGTTACAGACGCCATCCTTATTCCCACTCCTTTCTATGGCGTCATCACCGATGACGTAGATCTCTACAGTGACGTTAAACTCTTCCATGTTCATCTGGATTGTGAGGTGACAATTAAAGATTAGTATTGACTATTTAGCCGTGCAATTTTCTGAATTTAAATTTACAAGTGTTTATTTTGTGCTCATCCATTAAAAGACGGACGGCAAGGACAGCCGAGCATTTCATCTCACTGTAGAAAAACTTGAAGAAGGTCTTACAAAAGCTAAACAGGAGGTGGGTGATGGACTCCTTTACATCCAGTGAATATTTAAAACCAGAATGATTCACCTCATAAATGCAAAGAATACAAACATCCTTTTTTTTTGGTCACAGACTTCCAGCTTTAGCTCTAACGGGCTGTGGAGGTACAATAAAGCAGCTGATATTTACTGAGGATGTCTTTTAGGGGCTGATCATTCGAGCCGTTATCCTGATGAACCCTCACAATCCTCTGGCTGAGATCTACACTCCCGAGGAAATGATTGCCTTCTTAGAGTTCGCCAAAAGGTGCGTTTACCCCGTGTTAATCCCACGCTGTGACCTGCTGTAATCACCCTCCATCCTGAGCATCGAGAGTTCGCCACGTGATTTTATTACCTCTCTGTAACCGGCACCATATTGTCAATAACAGCCATGTGGGATGAAGATTTCCCGGATCGGCTCGTCTTGTCTGAAGTTATCGTCTCCACAGAGCTGCTACCATCGTAAATCTCTGTGCTTCACTCAGACAGTGGACGCTCATGGATTCACCTCACCTTTACGTTGCTTTTTCTGTCGTAAATAACTAAGAAGCTCATGACGCTGCTCTGACAAATTTGTTTTTGTTTAAACCCCCCCCCCCCCCCCCCCCCTTTTAAGGAACGATCTCCACGCCATTGTGGACGAGTTGTACATGCTGACAGTGTTTGATGAATCTGTCACCTTCCACAGTGTCCTCAGTCTAGACAGGTACAGTGTGATTACTCTGTTGGACCCTTAATCATCACAGTTGTAGCTGAGGACATCCTCTTATCTCCTGCTGATGTGCCCTTATTGCAGTCTGCCCGATCCACTGAGGACGCATGTGATGTGGGGGCTGAGTAAGGTTTGTACAGGGGCGTGAAAGTGAACGTTTGTGGAGGATTTTTAAAATTCCTGCTGACAGAAGTGCCACTTTAGTTTCACATCTCTTATTTTGGGTTCTGATTTGTTGTTTTTTTTAGGACTTTGCCATGTCAGGAATCAGAGCAGGAACTCTGTACACGGAGAACAGAGAGCTGGTGGAGGCTCTGGCTCAGCTGGGCTGCTTTCACGGCATCCCTGGGACCGTGCAGCACCAGGTGGCACAACTGCTTCAGGACCGAGGTACGAGCCAGGTTTCACACAGCAACAGATTTATTTTAATTCACTAAAATTGATCAAATTAAGTCAAGTTAGTGTGTTTTTTTGAACTTTGTGGCATGAATTTAACTGTTACAGCCTGGATCGATAACGAATTCCTGCCCGAGAACAGACGCAGGCTAAAAGCTGCTCACAGCTTCCTGACTGGAGAGCTGTGCAGCATGGGGATCCCCTTCCTGGACAGGCCTGCAGCTCTGTTTGTCTGGGCTGACCTCAGAGAGGTAACCACCCTCGGACGGAAAACGTTCTGCTCACGGTGCCACGTGGTTTCTCTTCCCTGCAGGCTTCAGTTTTGTCCGTTTTGCTTCATCAGTACCTGCAGGAGTCGTCGTTCCAGGAGGAGCTGAATCTGTGGAGGTGCTTCCTCAGACACAACGTGCTGCTGAGCTGTGGCCAGGCCTTCTCCTGCTCCACACCTGGATGGTTCCGAATCGTCTTTGCGGACCAGCACCTTCACCTCGGTGGGTTATCTCAGCATCTGTACCTACTTTTTATACTTTGTAAACTCTATCTTTTTTCAGTTTGAATTCATGTAACATTGGATTATTGGATGCAGAGCTGAGAGATAGAAAGACGGAGATGAAAAATTAGCGTGCAGAGCAGGAGAACTCTGTTTGAATGCTTGTTGTTTTTCTAGATCAAAACTTAAAATATGTGTCTTTTATGCATTCTATGTGCATGAGATAGACCTTTTGTGCCAGATGTCTCCAAATGACCCAAACTTGCACCTAAAAGTTGCTTTTTACTGATTTTATTCCCAAAATCCAAATATGACTCAACTGTGTCTAAACAAAGTTAGACAGTTAAAATGTTTGAATCACACCTTATTTGCTAACACTTTAGTGTTAATATTCAAAATTAAAAGTGTAGAACACTGAAAAAACATTTGAATTGATTTTTTTTCTGATTATAATCAGTCACTCTTAGTGCTTTCGTGCAGGCTGAACATGAAAACAGTCTCCTACACCCATCTCCTGCATTAGCTTCTGATGGAAAATATAAGGTGAAACTCTAGGATTTGCAAAGCTTGACAGATCTACATCAAGCTGCAGCTTGGACTCACCCATCCTGACTCACAAGGAGGAAGACTGTTGTTGTTTTAGTGTCCAGTAGATGAAAAAGAAGTTTCGGCTAGTAGAAGCTAACTGTAGCATTAGCAACTTCACCACACGAGTTTTTTGTGGAGATAAAACATCAGCGTTGCAAGTCAGTGGTAGAGTCATGATTCTGTTATCCAGTCCAGGTGAGATGTCCATATATCAGGAAATAAGACTCCAAAACTTGCCTCTGAAGCTACTTACTTCTCCAGCTGACTTCTCCCTGCTGACACAGATGCCCCCCCCCCCCCCCCCCCCCCCCCCCCAAGTACGACGTACGTTGGATTCATTATAGAGACTTCTGCAAATGTATGTTACAAAACACACTAAACCAGGCATGTTCAACTTGTGGCCTGGGACCCATTTGCAGCCTTAAGCGTGGGTTTGTGTGGCCCCCAAACAGATTTCCACAATGTTTGAATTTTGTCCCCTCCTTCACTTTGTTGATATAAATCAACATATTTTAAAAATTTCGTGTTCAAATCTTTTCTAATATTTCAATTTTAGGACCTTTTTGAGCTGCTCATATTTAAGCAATCACCACAAATGAACTTGAAGCGTTTTTAAAATTAGGCAATTACATTAAATTTTATAGGGATGGGTACCGAACTCGGTACTTTTTAAGGTACCGACCGAATTTCATAGTACTGACCGAGCACCGATTCACGTTGTTTCAAACGGTGCCTCGTTTCGGTACCCGTCCTTCATAACGAGAACTTGCCTAGACAGCTGCGCATGCGCAAGAGCGTTATGTCGTCGGTCGCTGCGAGCAAGTTGTAAACAGAGCAGCATGGTAGAAAGAACGCACGCTAACGCTTGGGTCCACTTCACTAAATGTGATGGGTAACTGGGTGATGATGAAACCAGCGACAACGATCTAAGTGAGACACCCTCATTTTAATCTGCTCCGGTAGGTAAATAAAATGTTTAAGATAACGTTAGCTTGATTTGTTAGCTTCCGTTTCACTAATGGTGTGTTCGCTTTCTCCTCGGAACTCCGAAATTCCGACTAGAAGAACATGAACGCGCTCTAAAGTTTGGCTTCACTTTACTAAATGCGACGGGTGACTGGGTGAAGATGAAACCAGTGACAACGATTTAAGTGTGAGGCATCATCGTTTTAATCTGCTCCAGCAGTTAAATAAACTGTTTAAGATAACGTTAGCTTGTTATGTTAGCTTCCATTGCCACCATTGTTATCAGCTAATGGTGCGTTTGCTTTCTCCTCGGATATTCTAACTTCCCAGTATGAAAAATCAAATGAAAAAGGACGGCAAAAGGAATGAAGATACACAGTAAATTTAGTTCACAGTAAAGATGTTTGCTTCAGTTTAATTATCAGCTTATAAAACTACAAGGACGATGTTAAAATACAAATAGTTGAATGTTATTTATCGTAATATTTATCAAAAATTGTTATATATTGAGAAAAATATATATTTAATTATAAAAGAGAGTTAAAATATTAAACACTCAAAAGTATCGAAAATTGGTACCGTTAAGTACCGGTATCGATTCGTAGGTACCGGGAATTAGTACCGGATCGATTCAAATGTCAAAGGTACCCATCCCTAATTACATATTTTGTTGCCCTTGGGGCAGTTCTTGAAGTGGAAAAAAATAAGACAGTGCCGGTATTGACGGTGCTGTATGCATGGCACACCTCATGGCAGTGATGTGCCTTCTGCGTGAAATGTGGCCTCTCATGGAGCGCGTGCGTGTCCTGCGTATTGGGAGTGGTGGCGCTGGAGGGGAGCGTGGACGGCTGGTGTTTGAGGACGGACTGACATTTTTCCAGAAATCTCAGGAATTCCGACTTGTAAATGACCGGACAAACTACCAGTATGCATCGTACTCTATAAAAATACTTCCAGAATGCTGAGAGGTCAAATTTAGAAGTTGCATAACAGCCTGCGTAAAACACCATCTATAAAACTGAAGATTTTGGCCCTTGTCTTGAAAAGTTTGGACACCCCTGCGTTAGATCTTAGATTATGTAAAAAAAAAATATTTTAAATCTAGTGATGCACCGATATGAAATTTTTGGGCGGATACCGATATCTCATATTAAGATCTCTGTTATGGCCGATAACGGATATTTGCCAATACCGATATAATGACATTGATGCTTCTAAAGTCAGCAGATTTTGTATAGAATGAAAATGATTAAAGCTGAATTGATGTTATTATGTACACACAGCACACACATTTATGGTTCTGAGATGATTTCATTCACTGTTCACATGACTAAGCAATCACACACCACCCCCCTCATCCTCTGAAACGGGCAAACAAATGGAGACGAAATGGAAAAAATATTGGTTGTTGATATCGGCCCGGTTTCATTTATCGAACCCATACCGATATGTTAAAAAATGACTATCATACCAATACTGATATTGATGCCGATATATTGTCCATCCCCATTTAAATCCTAAAGTGGTCATTACACAGCCCTTTTAGTGTCGTTCCAACACATGCCTGAGTGACTTTTTGTGGTGTTCCCTCAGGCATGAAACGATTTCGAGAGGCTTTGAAGAAAAACGAAGAAAAAAGCACCCGTGCTGATACGTCTGCCATCAAAGAGACTGTCGATAAGTGCAAAAACTCACCAACAGAATCTGACAATGCTGCGATTGTCAATTCTACATCGCCACCCGGCAGCAAGTCATTGGACCAACTGGAGGAGCGGGACAGCCCTGCTCCTGACACGGACTTGGTCAGCGCTGAGGGGTTGGTGTTGCTGGACTGTCAGGCGCCTAAGCCTGCAGAGAGTCTGGAGTCGCTTATCGGCACCCTCAGGAATCAGATCCGTTCCTCTGATTGGCTGGAGAAAAACACTCCAGAGCTGTCTGCAGGAGAAGACCCAGAAATCCTCGACGTGTTCAAGGCTTTGCTGCACAGAGCCAGAAAGTAAGCGAAGGATAATGCAGGCATGAATGTAGCAGCCAAAACGTCAAAAACATATTTTATTAGTCTTCCTGTTTGAGTCATTTCTTTTAAAATCTAGAACAAATGTTAATGAAGTTTAAAATGAGCACCAATGGAAACCAAGTTCTCCTCAATCTGCTTTATTTTTCTTCTATATGATTAATTTGTATTAGACTATTTTCTGTAAATCGACCGATCTGTGAATAAATCATCCAGTTGCTCCTTGTTTGTTTGTTTTTATGTGAGAAGGCTCTCCTGTGGGACGTTTAGTCTGAACTGGTGGTTAAACTTTCGTTTGGGTGGTCTGTGGGCGCCGTTCCGTTACACCAAAGGAAACAGCAGGGGGTTGGTAGTTAGATGACACACGGGGAGACTTCTGACACCGTTGCTCACTGCAAGAAACTTCAAGTGGGATTTCTTCTTACGTGCTCCTATGCGCTATGACCCAACAACAGCCCCCTACACATGTTTGTTAGTTTTTTATGACACCAGCAAATTTCAGTGTTATTTTGCATTTAGATTTTATCCCAAGCCTGACAAACTTCCCCTAAATGTTCACTTCTGCCCTTTAATCCCTTTGTTCTCTGACGAAACAGAGCTTGTTCTGCTTTTAATATCGTTGTTGCAGCTTTTACTTTCTCTGCTGTCAGTGGAGAATTCACGGGGAAATTTCCTCCCTGGTGGGCGGAGTTTCCATTGCAGCAGAGGCGGAGCTAAGTGAAGGGCTTTGATTTGTCACTGGGGTCACGAGCAGTGGAAGGAACCGTGCAGAAAGTGTACAGTAGTGAAGCATTCATCTGAATTTCCACAGACTCCAATCAGAGTGCCGCTTGAAAATTTGCTCCTCATCAGCAGCAGCAGCAGCAGGTAGGATTCCTTTGTAGACATTTAATGTGATTTAAGTAAATTTGGGTTTGACCTTAAATGTACTAATGTTTCCTTTTGTAGGGATGAAGTTTATTGAGCTAGGAGACTCCATCAACCGCTTCAGGTTTGCTCAGTCCGGTCTGGGATTAGCAGGCTGCCTCTGTGTGTGCTACGCTGTCTGGAGTCCCTCCTGGTTCCAGGAAAAGGGACTGTGGTCAACGTGGAACAGTAGCAGTAGTGACCAGACCACCAGGACAGATGATGCTGCCTTCAGTGGTGAGTAAAAAGCTGCTTTTCCTTTTTGTTTTCATCTCATCCTTTAGTCAACAAATCTAATTTGCCATCAGTCGATAGCTGTCACTCTGGGTTAGCTGAAGAGACTGACTGAATGAACGTTGTTAGGGAGGGTGGTGTGTTTGATGAGACTCGCGCGGTGCTGATTTGATAAGGCTCTGGAAATCAGGCCCAAGGAGGTTTACTTTGTTGCTTCGGCAGGGATCAATGCGAAGAGAAACATCTGACAAAAAGCTCTGGGGGTAGAACTTCTCAGCAGCGGTAAACAAGCCGGAGCTTGCTCCTCCAGCATTAGGAAACGGCATTCTTTATATTCTCAGGCTCAAGGTAATGACTTAGAGAGGGGAAGTCTTTGTCAGCTAATTTTTTTAAATTATTTTCTTTCCATGAACTTTATTTTAGATTTTCAGTGCAAAAACATCACCTAAAGACTTTAATTAGATACAAATTCCAGAAAACTGCAGATTATTAAAACTATGCTGGAGAAGCATGCCTTTTTGTTTTTAATCAGATCAAAACACAGTTTTAAATCATGAGGATGTTTTCCTTAATTTAATCCCCAAAACACGATGCACATGATGAAATAGAAGCATAAACACCTTTTTTTCCATATTTATAATGGGATATTTTTTATCATGGGGTAGGGCAAAATAAAACACTAAATATAACTTTGCAGTTACATAACAATAGTGCTTGATAACTATTTTATCAAAGAAAATAAAAACAAAAACTACATTCATCACATCTGTTCATGAAACAAAAACTGCCTAATTCAATACAGTTAGTGAAATAGACATTATTCAAACCTCAGACATGTTGTTTAGGGATCAATAAAGACCTCAAATGCAGCTTGGAAACTCAAAATCAGAGTTAAACCGCAAGATTTTGTTCAAACAGAGTAACTAAAATGAGGAGCTGCGGTGCTGCTTGTTGTGCCTGACAGTGAAAAGCACAGATTATTCGTTTTTTAAACAGTTTCAGTGTCTCCTTCCACCACTTTGCTGTATTCACAGACATGCGAACGTGTGCAAGAACGTCTGCATTTACATGACAAAGTGCAGAACCTCTTTAAGTGGTGGATGCTGATGGATTACAACAAAAAGTTGTGATTTTGAACCTCTGCCTGTGTGTCCTCCAGTTTTGGAAGCAGAGAGAGTTTTTGGCGTCGTTTCCTTCCTGATGGCAGTGAGCACCGGCGCTCTCTGTCTGGTGTTTGCCCTCTGCTGGACGTCCCAGACGGTGCGCTCCTACTCCAACACCCGCTCTCTCCTCATGGCAGGACAGGCTCTCTACCCCACCAACCTACTGCTGTTCACAATGGCCCCCACAGGTACAGAACACACCTGCGTTCACCTGAACATACAAAACACATCACAAACAAATCAAGTTTAAGGTCTGAAACCATTGATGCTTTCAGATAAAAGTGTTTTAATCTCCCCCCGAAAAAAGTGACCTAAATAAATGTGCATTCCCTGCAGAGGAAAAAAAATAAATTAAACAGGCTTTTATCTTTTCCTGAGATTTGCAGCTCATTAAACTCTTTTCAGAAGCTCCAGTCTTGTCATCTTTTCACTTAACAGCTTCTTCTTTTAGTGGCGATGATTTAACTCCGTGTTTCATCTGCAGGTTTCTTCTTCCTCCTGAGCTGGTCGTTCTTCACCTATCAGCACCATGAGGAAATTTGCCAGGACTTCTCCAGCCTGGGCTCCTCCTACTGGCTGGGAGCTTTAGGCTGGACACTGCTGTTGATCGTGGAGTCTGTCGTTTATATTGTTGAACAAGCCGTTGTACCAGACGTCATACCTGGCTTACAGAAGGCCCTGGAGTCCTGGAGGCTTTCCTCCCAGATCAAGGACACCAAACGGGCTTTCAGTGCAAACTGGCATCCTGCAGGTCACAAAAGCCACTTCGCTCTACAGAGGTACCTGTCAATGCCTTGAGAGGAGGTCATAAATGATCACATGATCATTAATGCACAGAGACTCACTTTAACTCCTGGAGATTTGTGTTGCAGCTTTACGGTTTGTTTTCAGCACAAAGTCAAGAATACACTAAAGAACAACGGAGCTAACGGGGAAAAGCGATCACCACAGGAAGCTCACGAGGTCAGATCCAGCTGCTTCTAACTGGATAAAATAGTAAAAAACAAAACAAAACAAAAAACCACTGTACTTAGTATTCAGTCAGAAAACACATTTTTAAAATGTTAGCATATTACATGGTACAATCAAATGTAAATGATGTAAAACGGGGACTTTTGTAGCATTTAAGCTAACTATTCTAAAAAACAAATACAATTTATTTTTATGTTTCTGTTTAATAAAAAAGAGAAATTTGGAGTTTTGGTGTTGTTTTTTTAGATACAGAATCAGTTTTATTGGTCAAAATTGTTACACAACCACGGAAATTGGCTTCGGTTTCACATGCTCACATCACACAATTAGCATAAGATAAAGACAAGAAAATGAAAAAAAAAAAGAAATTCTTTTTTTTCTCCTAAGTACATAAACATGGCAGAAAAATTGCCAAACAAATGCAAATATATCCTGATGTGTTTCATTCTAGGTGTTAATTAAAGCTCTAAAGAGATTTTAAATGGATGGTTCCTGCTTAGAGGGACTCACTGCATCTTTCTGAGATTTGGAGTATTTCATCTTCAAACGAATCATGTTTTCATGAGACGTGTCATTGAATAACATTTTTTTTGTGGAAGAAACATGGTCAGATTTGAATAATTGCAGCTACATTGCACTTCAGCAGTGTTGTTCTATTGCAATGGTATTTTGTCTAGTCTTCCCCAAAAAGCTTTGAAGCAACTGCAGCTTATTGTGCTGCTGCTAGAGTCTCAACTGGAAGCAAGAGACCTGAGCACATCACTCCTGTTTTTAATACACTGTTACCAGTAAACTACAGGATCCATTTCAAAGTGCTACTACTAGTTTATAAATAACTCAATGGCATGGGGACAAAATACATCGTCATCTCCTTGCAGTTTATACGATCAGCAGGTCTCTGAGATCCTTAGGAACCAGAACCGGTCAGCTGGTAGAACCCTGAGCCAGAACCAAACAGGGTGAATCTTCTTTTAGCTACTTAGCTGCACACAGATGGAATCAGCTTCCTCATGATCAAAAATGTATCCCTTCTGCAGTCAATATAAAATCAAAATAGAAAACTTTCTTGGATTAATCAGCCTTTGAATGAATGTTTCTTATGCTGCTCCTTCTGCACTGTAACTGCTCACCCTTTAACTTTGTCCATTTTCAGATTTAATTAGATCTAAATTCATTTGTGAATTTTAATTGTGCAATTTGATGTTGGTGCTATTCTCACTAATGTAAAGCACACTGAACTGCTTCTGTGTATGAAATGTGCTAATAAAACTGCCTAACCTTACTTCCCCAGAGAGAAAGATGACAATTTTATGTATACCAAGAATATAAATACGTGATAGATGCGTTCAAACGCAAGAACATCCGCCTATTAAATGGAGACTAGGCAGGTTAGGCTTGCTTTTAGCACCCCCCAGTGTCCATTTGTAGAACTAAAAGCAAAACCTACCTCCTCGCTGTGCATTTGTCTTTTTAACACCTTAATCTAACAGCTGAAATGTCTCCACAGGCTTCATTAGTGTCTACAGAAGCGATTCATAAATAAGTTGAACAAATCAGCTCTGTTTATGATCTGGAACATGCTGGAACCAGACTGCAGCGCTGGGTTTGTCAGCTCAATACTTTACTAGGTCCAACAGACCTGACCGGCACTCTGAAGTTGCAAGTGTAATATTCTGGCCACGGGGGCTGGGTGGCCTTTCAGTTACCTGTAAAGGGTCATTTTAGCACATACTGGCTCAAGAAAATTATGTAAAAATATGAAAAAGTTGCACAGTGCCTCTTTAACCTCTGTCAAGGCAGACTTGTTTGTGGAATATTTTTTCCAGAGGACGCCACCAGCAGCGTGAAAAGCTGATGCCGGAACTAGAGGGAAGCTGAAAAAAAAATGTCTGAGATTGTTTCTTGCTGCAACAAATGTTTCTGAGGCAAAGACAGAATATACAACAACAAAAACAAAACAAATTCAAAAATTTTCCTTAAAAGCAAAAATACAGAAACAGCTGCTTGTGTTCTGTGACTGAACAAGTCTCTCCACTGTTTGCACACTAGCTCGTCAGTCCGCTTGGACTTCCGTGTGTGCTGAGGCAGACTTTTGTTTGCAGCGGTACATCTGTTTCCTTTCTGAAACACTTGCCTCATGCACCCACAGCTCCCAGATCTGCTGAGTATTTGGACCACCAGACAACAGCTTGACTCCGAATTCGTTATTTACTCTTCTCTCACACCTTCCCAGGAGAAAAGGAAGCACTTCGGATGCTGGCTGTTTATGTTTACATTCTCAACCTGCCAAAGCAGGGGGAGAATTAAGCGGCTCTGGCTCTGTTAATTGGGCGTTAATCAGGTGTTGCTCTAATTAAAAGGCAGTTCCGCCCTGTTGGGCCCCCGTAATGAGTTTGTTATTAAATCCACAGAGGATTTTTGTCTCTTTTTCAATTTACCAATAGAGTAGTGCTTAATTGCAGTGTAAATGAGAATAATGTCCTTGAAGGTCGTGTTGCATCAGCATGTGATCCATGAACAGTGTTGTTCAAATCTCAGATTCTCCAAGCCAACTCTGACCTCTTGTGTTTAACCATTTGGCTCCTAGCACTTACTGTCATTTTCTATAAACAAAGGGGAAAAACATAGGATTTGTTCTAATTTAACACCACAGGTTGCACGTTCTTTTTCTACAAATAAAGACACCTTAAAAATGGATTTTCTCTTCACCTTAAGTTGCTTTTATTTCACTCACCAGGAACTATCTGGGCTCTTGAAAGCACAACGTGTTTTACGGCTGCCAGCCACTCGTAAACAAAATCTCCCCTCTTTCAATTTTCCACCATCCCGTTTCACCTTTCGGAGAGATAGAAAGAAAAAGACTAAAGGCCGAGAAAGCCTTTGGGAGTAAGACAAATCGATATGGAGATAGAAACAAAGAGATTACGAGACAGTTAAAAAGAAAAGAGAAGAAAATAAAAGATGGATGGATTAGAGATGTTATTCAGATAGATGGACTGTGGCTGTTCATGTGGGTAAAACACAACTTGAGCTTATCTGTCAGCTTTTCCTTCAAAGGATCCATTCTTTTTCCTTTATGACCCAAAATAAGCACAATTCCTAAATGTAGGTGTGAAGCATTCTCAATCTGATATTCTGAGCTTTGAATTTTCACTTTAGAGTAAAATAATCAAAATCTGCAGTTTTATTTTCGACCAGTTGGTGGTGCTGGTGTAACATCCAAATGCATTCCCACTTTGTTTGGTACCTGCTGAAAACAGGAAGATGTTGCTGGAATTTGATGAGTAATGCGATAAAAATAAGTTTATTCTTTTATGCACAGGCGTGTCCATGTGTACATTTGATTCTTACGTGCAACGTGGACCAAATGTGATGAATATTTGGACGGCTGTGAGCCAAAATGTGCCGGACTCCTTCAATGTTCAAGTTTTATTTGGTTTGAGCCGGAAGCCTGATGAATTATGAAATAAAGAGCAAAAAAGATAAGAAAACCTATGCTCTTTGCCGTTTTAGTTCTCCGTGGTTTGCATAATTTATTCGGATCATTTGTAACTTTCCTGGCAGGTTGTTGCTGTTAGGTTCAAAGTGAAGACACTGAAGAAATACACAGAGAAGAAGAGACAGCAGGGGAGAAACAGACATGAAGATCAGAGGAGGAGAGAACAAAGAGGGACAGGGGATTTGAGATGTCACAAAACAGTTTCAACATGTCCCCTAATTCCGCACAGCTTTGTGTCTTGTCACATTTTTGATGAACTTTGAACTTTTGTTTTTCCTCGCTCCATCCCTCAACACCAGCTCTCTGTAGATCTGAACGCTGAGACGAAGAGTCGGACCAGTGCTGTCTCATGACCTCCAGTGCTCTATCATTAGTGGAAGTAGACACTCTTTGAAAAAGGGAAAAGTCAGGATGTTTCATGTGTGCAGTCTTACGACCTCAGCAATGGCAGACCAAGAGGAAACTGAATGAAGATGTTGGTAGATCATCCACCCTTTGTCATTTCCCCCCTCTTTTGCGGGGATTCGGTTTATTTCTCGCCTTGCAGAATCTTCAATTAGCTGTTGGTCCCTGTGCCTGACATCCCACGCAGACCACATCACTGATCATGTTTGTTTAGCAGAGCCGGGTTTGGATGAGAGGAAAAGAAACACATTTCATGATTATTTGACACTCATTTATTGGACATAAAGTCTCCTAAACTCCTAAAAGGAGTTTTTCAGCTACTCTGATGTGTGTTTCTGAGAGAAATTTCGCCTGTTTCCTGATTGGCTTCTGTTCGTGACAGCCAAAGAAAAGATGTTTCTATAATGTCATAATCATATTTGTGAATTCCAGTTAAATATTTTATATTCAGTAGGGCTGGGGGTAAACGATTATTTTTAAAACGATTATTCTGACGATTATTTTATCGAATAGTCGACTATTCTAATGACTATTTAGAAAATTAATCTAATGATTATTTTTCTATTGCACAATTAACAAAAACCAGAAAATCTCAAATAAATTCCTCAAAAAAATTGATAAATTCTTACTGTAAGAGAATAAACACTACAGGCCTTCCATTTTGTATAACACTGCTTTTATTGTGTTGTGGTTGGTTGTGTTCTGGTGACGTGTAGAATATGGGAGTGCAGGCCTGAGAGGTGGTTGGAGACGGAGTGTCTCCATGCTGCTTTGTTTTGGTCACTTATGTGCGTGAGGCGAGTGGTGTTACGACTCTTCCTGGGGAGTTTGGCTCATGTGCAAAAAGGAAGGGACAACAACGGGATTTAAAAGTTAAAATGATGATCAAGTTTATTTACAACTACAAAAAATCATAAATCTTTCCATCCACAGGTTGGGAATAATAAAACTAATTCTGCCTGTGGGGAATTAAAACAAAGTACAAATAACTAGGGATGTCCCACTGGGCAAAGATTACTGGGTTCTGGACCAAAATAAGGATCTCCAAAAGTCCAAACTCTAAACTGGGCGGTTAAACCAAACTCAAGGTGATATTTTAAACTAAACCGAAAACCCACAACACTCTAAATGTAATAAAAGTGAGATCTACGCCACAAAAAAGATGAACTCTAAACCGTAACAGCTTATCCAAACGCAAGAAGCTGTTAGCGAAGATGCTAACAGTAGCTTTACCAACATTAAGTTCAAGTTACCAAGTTTAAATAAACCAAAAACACCCAGCAGCAAACAGACCAGCATGGAGGAGAGACTGCTACCACCA